GTATATATATATATATATATATATATATATATATATATATATATATATATAAAAACATATTATTTATTGTCATTAAATAAAAGTAATATTTCAAATCATCAATAATAAATCAATTAAAAAGTAAAAAAAATAAAAATATTAATAAATAAATAAATAAATAAATAAATAAATAAATAAATAAATAAATAAATAAATAAATAAATAAATAAATAGTTATTCTCACCCCTACTGGAATCTGACTGGTCAAAAAACTGATTAGTTGATTGTGAATTTTGAAACTCATAGTTTAAAACTTATTATGTCACACCTTGCTTACGACACGCAGTGTTGCTAACTGCTATTATGCTAATTAGGATTCAGCCGCTATGTGATGGCAATGGCAGTTAAAGGAGATGATGGTGTTACCGTATGATCTCTTGCTTTCACTGTCGTCACTGTCAGGAGAGTTGAGTTCCTCGCTCCCTGACATTCAGACAAGACACGGGTCACTAACTGAGTCCACTTAGTGCAAACAAACAAACAAACAAACAAACAAACAAACAAACAAACAAACAAACAAAAGACAAAAACAAACAAACAAACTAACAAAAAACAAACAAACAAAAGACGAGCACTTTTCTTATGTTGACAGCCATTCTACCTGCTATACTAACAGTGTTACTGCTCTGCGCTCCTGGTAATGTTTTAACTTATGAAGTGTATACTTAAATTGTGCAAAACAGAAAATACTGCTTTTTTAACATGTGTTTGAAGTGAAAATAATGCACATATGTACAGGCTACAGTACTGAGTAAGTACTAGTAAGTAGTATACAGCAGACTTATTAATGCACTAGTTCGAAAACACTGAACACTACTAATTCAGTAAGTACTAATACTATATACAGCACACTGCACACTATAAATTGTATTGTACACACTATACAGCACATTACATGACATAGAACACTCTGTACTCAAAACATTATAGGAAAAGATTGTACTACAAGTATACTACAAAGTATTATAAACAAAGCCACCTTTTTAGCATGTAATTGTTTCTTATAGCTTACAACAACAAAAAAACACAATGTTAGGCAAGGAAAAGTGTAGTACAGATTATAATAGTGATAAACTTAAATTATATATATACTCCGTGTGTGTGCCAGCATCAGTCAGTTACAACCACATAATAATAATAATAATAATAATAATAATAATAATAATAATAATAATAA